TCGCATTTGTTAACGTCAGATTTATTATTTTTTAACAAAATTAAATTTCAGCTTTTAGTTAATTTGATTAAAATGTAGCGCTTATTTATGAAATTGTCATGAGGTAACAGAACACGCTTTCTATAATTTCAAATGTTAATTAATTGTCAATATTTCTCTCGCGTCTTAATCACTGTAACAAGCAATTTCAAATACTTCCGTAATTATTACCGTCAATAGATTATTACCGTTTTATTAAACACCGGTAAGCGTGGCCGCGGTCTCATCCGGCGACATTTATCACATTTGAAGAACTCTCCCGACTTGAACGACTCCACTCTCGAATTATTACTCAAGAAGCATTTTGTTTTGTTTTTTATATTTCGAAATATTATAATTTATTTAAGTTTAAATCGAGCACATCTCATCCTTTACATTTTTATTGCCAATATTCGTTTATCAGTAATATTTGTTTATTTTCTCTCTTTTATTTTATTTAATAACGATGATATTACGTTGTTTCGTTTTGTGCGAAGAGAAACGTGAACAATAATTAATGCAATTAGTTTTGCCGTTGCAATGCATTAATATACAATAATTAATGCAATTAGCTTCTCCGTTGATCTCAATGTTCGTTTATTAAAATCAAATATTTGTGCAACAACATTGCGATACGGGATAGTGTTACGGCTTAAGTTTATCCGCGCAATACAAATTGAATGCGGCTTGTCAATCATGCTATTTTTCACGATACAACGCGTAAACTTCGGCTTCTTTTTGTCGCAAACTCTTTTGTTATCAAGAGAGAGGCTGTGCCATATCTTTTCGATCAAGAAGACAAACTGACCTCCGTGTTTATTTTATGGAAACAATATCTCGATAATGTTTTTCTTGTAGGAAAGAGGCGACACGGTTTGATAGTTGCGACTCTCACTCGTTTCACTCGTCGACCCTCAAAAGTCGACCCTTACGACCCGATGATACCACGTCGTCATGATAACATTACGCGACACATATAAAACAATATTTATTCTAATAATATCTTAATATCTTTTTAATATTTTTTTAAACGGACAATAAAGTACAAATTTTGTCATAAATTTTTGTAAACACTTTGAGATTTTAATGCGACGGTTAATCACACGAGATGTGAAAAAAATCACGAGAAGATATATATATATATATATGAGTGTTTATTTAATTTTACGTTACGATAAGCGATTGTTTTTTAAGTAAGAAGATCATAGACGAAAGAGTGCGAGCTTAGAATATCTCTTGTAAATGACAGAGGTAGTTTGCAGGAAAAATAATCGTCGCCATTAAATCGGTTATGCGTCGTTACATGAGCACTTTTGCCATTTGCGCTTTTATATTAAAAGTTACTGCCTTTTCAGTCCGTTGGAATTTCTATGGTCGTCACCGCATAGTAGGCGGGTTTACCTATAAATCAATGACTTTGCGCGTCAAACAACTTGAGTAAAAAATTCTTAACTTCCGCAGTTTTTCTCGCGATATAAATTAAATTTATATATGTTTACAAGAGAGAAAAAAAGAGCGGAGAAAAGATACGTACCAAGTTTTAATCGAATTAGTGTAGTTAAAATAAACGCACGGTCGCGGTGTGTCGCGAGTTTGTTTCGATATCGATTGTTGACAATATTGTTTTAGAGCTCTTTAGATAAACAATTATATTCCGCAATTTTCGTTCGCGAGAGAAAAGTGGCACGGAAAATTAGATTAATGTGTTGTGAAAATGAGCGATAGTTTATGTTACTGTGTTTCACGTGTAAGCACGTTTGCGGGCACATAAACTCTTGAATAAATATGAAATACACACCTTCGATGTGCATGCATGTGCATGAACACTGGTTCGTGCGGAAGTAAATACTTTAAATTGTTTACGACGAGAAATATATATATGTATAGCGACGAGGTACAACATCCTCTCTCACCGCTCTCATTTCGTTGAGTATGAAGTTAAAGCTCGTTCTTGGTTACAGGTAGAAGTTACTACCATCAAGGACCCATTCATACGCAATTCACACACATATCGTCATAAAATGACATTACTCGTGTCGTTTCGCGCGGAGCGCAATTTGCTTTTCTGTAACCGCTTTATAATGTACAACACGCTTATAATATTTCAAAACACGCGTTCCATTTGTAAAATTTTTAATTCCGCGTTTCTAAATTCATAAAATCTTTTAATTATCCTACGCCAAATATGTATTTTTTTTTCACTAAAAGTTGTGTGTGCAAGTTTTTTGCGTAGTTTTATCTTGTAAAATACAATTTTTTGGAGATTAATTTTCTCATTCTTCGTCCAGTTAAGGTCAGCAAGAACGTGCTTTGATATATAACGATATTTTTTTTTTTTTTCACAACTCTCGGAGCCAATTCTTGCGCGTTCAACATTTTGGTCGGCGCGGCGAGACGATGATTATCAAAAAATATGCAAATAACGATAATAATAATAAATAATCTTTTCTTATTTAGTACTCTGTGTTTTGAGGTTTTGTCGAGAGAAGTTTTCTTCGCAATGTAAAAAAAATTCACAATGTAAAATATCCACGTTTTCGCGCACGAAAAAAAACAATCGTGTAAAGATATTTCACTAGTAAGTTTTATAATTATTCCGTAAAGCGTGTAAACTTTTGTAAATTTTTTTTCTCTTCGATTTTGATTTGTCTTTTGTGGCAAGTTCTCGTAATTGTTCCCTATTTTTTTCCTTCACTTTCTTGTGATATTTTTTTAAATCCTGCTACTTAAGACCGTGTTTCTACAAATGCGAAGTTTTTAACGTTCCGAGAGAAAACAGAAACCAGATTTTGATCGAATAAAGAATTATAAGAATGTGAAAGGATGAAACGTTTTACCACAGTTAAATGATCCGCAAACCGGATGCTAAGCTTTCAGAAAGCAGAATAACACAGGTTTTACTTCTTTGTTTCTTTCTTTCTTTTATGACACTGATGACGCAGCTTTTTCATTGGCAGAAGACACGTTAATGCTTTTCGTGATGCTCGTAAATTTGTTTCCGATTATATTGCGTTAAAAATTACATTTTTGGTGCACAGTTTTCGAAATTACGTTTTAAATTTGTTGCTTGACAATTTGTTGCTTTACACTTTCACAAAATTGCGCGAAAATTTTGTAATCTTTTGCCGATTGAATGTTTCACGTAGTGTGTGCACATGTATTATATTTTACTGATAAAAAAAAACTAATTTAACAATAAAAATTTTTTAAGCGTGCAACAACTTAAGCAAATGTTTGTGCATAATTCAAACGATTGGTTGAAGTTATTGGTTAATTATTGATCGATTATGTCGTTTTTGTCAAAAAAAAAATCCATTTTACGAAGATACGCGGAGTAATTCTGTTTCACACGTAATTTCCTTTGCTTATTAATAGCGCGTCCGCGAGTAATTAGATATTAATCGATTGCAAATTATCATAATGCATCCGCTGTGGTTCTCAACGCTTTCATCTTTTTCTAAACACACGCCAGTAATTTCTCTTCGTGTTGCCAATAGTAGTATCGCGAAACCACGATTGGTCATTACCCGCGGTATGCCTTGCTTCATTAGGTTTATCTGTCAACAATTAATCCTTTGGCGTTACAAGCTATTATGCATCCTTTGCATCACAATTACGTTACGTAATGAGAGCGTAAAATGAACATTGATGACGACAGGCATTTTGTCACCTATATAAAAAACGTATAATATTATAACATACGTACGTATTTTTAATCACGAGAAAGTTTTATCAAAATAATGTTCTCTTAATAGAGAAGAAACACTTGAAAAATATTATTTCATCGAGTCTTGAAAATTGTTTTTGCTTAAATGAGAATAAAATATTTCGGAGATAAACTTTTGTACATATTCGCACGAAGGAAAAGTGATTTAAAATTGTATTTAATTTGAAGTAAAAAAAAAAAAAAAAAACAGGCGAACAATTTTTGTGTCATATTTCACGAGAATTGATTGCGATGATAAGCTAGCGAGACAGACGTAATATAAAATCTGCCGTGAGGCAAATTACTACAATTCTTCCTTTAATAAATTCTTCGAGAAAAGTATTATAGAATGAATTCTCCCTCTCTCTTCCACGGCAACATTGAACGTAGAAATTAAGCGTCAGAAAAAAAGAGTATAAATATTTTCGCGAACATATTTTTACACTGAAGAATAGAGAGCGATTATTTGCCGTAAGTTTCTCTGAATTGAGAAACTGTGAGTAGTTTCAGCGTAGCGCATGGTCTCACTACTGTCCGCGTAACGCACGATCTTACTACTGAGAGAAACCCCCGCGCCAGAAGTTCTCAGTTGAATAATCACACAAGTGCGGAGTTACTTCCCTAACTACTATCAAGATATATATCAGATTGCATAACCGTGCGAGTGTAATTTATTACTCGATTTGCTTGAAAGTTCGCCGTTGCTAACACAATGGCACAACATTATTCTAGCATAGAACTAACATCAAATATCTTTCGAAAAATACTACGCGAAAATTCAATTCTCGTTGAATCAAATTAAGAGAAACAAGTGAGGAATAAAATTCACTTTTAAATTACTTTTTAAAATCTACACGTATTTTAATTTTTTTTTTTTTGTAAAATGAGCAGATATTTCATAATGATTGCTCAATTTTTCTTTTGACAAAATGCGGATTAAATTCCAAGGATTTATACAAATCGCAGACGTAATAATAAAAAGAAGTGAGAAAACTTTGCTTAAAAATAATAATAACAACAACACCGCAACCTTATCGAGTGTTGTACAATTACACATATACGAAAAAATACAAACAAGAAAACTAGGATATAAAAATATGGTAAGAGTGACTCAAAGGGCAAGGCTACAGCTAACAAGGCTGTTTAAAAGCCTTACCGAAAAAAAACGAGAAAATAAAAATAAAAATAAACGCTAGAAATATACTGTTGTTTTTCTTAATATGTCGAGTTTTTTTTTTTAATGAAAAAAAAGATTCACAAGTGTGTGTCTGCTTACCTTATATTACTGATAAAATCCGGAAAGTCAATAGGAGGAAGCGGTTTTACTGAAGAATATCTAGCGCGGATGGTTCGTCGTCCAGCGACGGTGAATACGGTTCTGCGATGGCGAAGCGTTCGCCGACCGTTTATATAAGCGCGACTTTGTGACTCTCGCACCCCATTCACGCCCCCACCCATACGGCCGCTTTCCACCCCTGTCTCCGGCAGCCGTTGAAGCTCGTCCAATCAATTCTCGTGTATCCGTGTACATACTTCGGCCCATTCTCCTTGCTCACAATTCTAGTTGAGCTCGAATAAAACGATGACGAACTCGCTAAGATTTTTGAGCTAAAGCATATTCCACAGGTGCTCGTCCCCGCGAGATCTTCTCGCAGTCACCCTTTGATGATGGATAATCGGCGTTATCTGCCGAAGAAGCGCTGAGAGGTACGCTAAATGGAATTTTATTATTTATGATGTTATAAGAAAGGATGTTATAAAAGCATTTTTATATTTTCTTATATTTTCTTGAATTTTTAAGCTAAATATTTTTAATATCTTAATTAAACTTTTATTTCGTAATTGTTTCGAAGTACATCTCTTACTCATCGCGTATTATAGTACTGTGCAAGAAATAAAAGTTGCACTTTCATCTACCCGAGAAGAATCCGCGATAGATTTCGAATTTCAATCGTTTAAATCTCTAGGTTATATCGGCAATTTTGGAATTAGAGCTTTCGAAACAGGATAGTGTGGGAATGCAAACCGGTCGAAACGCAAACCGCGAGATATTTTCTTGTGACTCGTTCGTGTCCGTTTTCACATTGGATTCGTGTCGGTTTTCGATTCACCGTATGAAAAATATGAAATATCGACTGTTAAACATACAACTCGCCATTCATTTTATAGCAAATTATCAAAATTATTATCTACATCTGTGAACATGGGAATTTTGTCACTTTAACAATCTTTAAGGAAACTCTTCCGAACCGCTTAACATATTACGTTGTATACAAACATAATAAAATTCAGCGAGTCACTAGACAAACGTTTCGTGTGAAAGCAAACGGGATAGAAAAAAAAAAAAAAAAGGAGAAAAAGAAAACAGGTTAAGAGAAAATATCGAGTCACAGCAGTCGTTAGTCACGTCCGAGCCATCAATTTTCGATATAAAGCTACAGCTATTCGATTCCTACATCCGTTTGACGCTAAAGGATTCGGATCGAAAACGAAAACTTGCCAATTGTCTGGGAATCGGGAACGCTTTGTATATATTTCAATTTGTTCTCGATTACTTAAATAAATATTGATTTCTAAGGGACGATTTTCCTTTTTGTGTATATTTGTTCCGACGTTTTTGTAATTATGAGAGAGAAGAAGAATATAAAGACTGTGTACAAGATTGACATTCGTCTCTTTTTTTCTCACCTTTCTAACAGAAAGTTTAACAACACATTCAAATTCTCTCTACGGTCGAGATCGAAAGCTCTTCTAAAAAAAAAAATCAATAAGCTACAATAAACAATTTGTGGTATCGATGGCCATTGCTGTTTGCGGAGCAAGACCTGCGAAGAATCAGTGTACATACTACATAGATCTGATCGGTTTCTCGTCACCAAGAAAATCCACCACCAACAAGCATTCAATTTACCACAAGTACTGTTTGTTTCTTCGTAAAATAAAAATTATGTTGTCGATCCTGTACGTGTTACGTACACGTTACGCTATGTATAAGTGCAATTTTTTCTTTATAACCGAAAGTTTTCTATATTTTCGATTTCACAAATTTGTCTCTTTTCATAAGAAACAAGAATTTGTAAATTTCTCAAAATTGCAACGCAGCTGTTCGTCAACATTATTTTTCAAATATTTTTGACATTATTTTTTTCGCGTACAGTCGGATGTACGTATGTAAATTTCAATTTACCGTATTCCTTTGAGAAATATAGTTGTATCGAGAATATATGTACATATACGTTCCGCGCTTAAGTCAAAAAATGTCACGATATACCTACGCATATTTGACGTACGCGTACGAAATGACAAACAGCGCGGCGGAATATAATTACACATTTTTTTCTTTTTTTATTTCGTACATTCCTGTGACCTCCTCGTTATTCATCTCGTTCGGACATCCTCGAACCCGAGCGTTCTCGACTCTTTCTTTTCCTTCGTCGTATCAAGAACCGCGTTATTGCCGTTTATCGCGCGGCTCCCTCTCAGACACGCCGCCTTATGCCATTGTCGCCATGCAAATTGTGTAATAGCCTATTTTAATAATGTCCGCGAGATGATGCAGCGTCGACGGGCACTCGAAACAAATAGCCATCGTGGACTTAATGTGGATATAAGCGAGTTAATGAAATGCCAGTTTGATGGCGTTTTGTTTATACATACGAATATAAAGTACTTTCGTCGACGTGACGCGTGTCGGAAATTTTGAGAAAAGGTTGAATAAAGTAAAGACATAAATTTAAGTCAAGTCATTTTTTTTTTTTTTTATTCAATTTTCGAGATTGAAATTATTGTAATCATATTACGTTAGACATACGCAAGATACGATTAATCGAAACGGGATTTTACGATAAATAAAATATTTGTCCGTTAAATTTCACTCTTTTATGAAAGAATATTTACGAATGAAAAATTGATATTGCACCGGTGAAATAAAAAAAGAAAAAAAACCGTGATGTGTCACAAATAGACAGAATGGTTTGCGGCCGTTGGGGTGTAAACAGGATCCACTCGATGCAAATTCGTTTAATCAGCAGAACGAGCACCTAGCTTCTGCGCTCGACGAATCGATCGGTTTGTACCGGTTATTAGTTTATCTCTTGCCAACGTGGCAACGAAATGGTGAGTTTGCTTTCACGGCGTCTATATCCTGATAGTTTCGCCAAAAACGACTGAATTCACGGCAATTGCCATGATTCTCAATTAATTCGGATCATTGAATTACGTGAGTTATTCTTAATTAGCCGCGCTAATAAAAGCCGAGGCCACTTGTTGTCGTACGTTGTCGAAGAAACGAACAAGTTATTCTAACCGAGAAACGTTTGTCCCAGATTAAATAGTTCTGCCATTGTGCGATCAGTTTCAAACCACGAGAACAAACATGAGCGAGAATTGCGTGCAACGCGGTAAGTCGTATAATGGAACGCATTACTCTACAACTCCGAATGCGTAACGTAAGTATACACCAGGACAGTTGCCTGGGACAGTTCATAATCGCTCACGAGAAAATGCGGATTTGCTTAGGAGAAAAAATGCGAAATATAAATTATACAGCAGAGATATGTACGAAAACGCACACACGCTATTCTCGAGAACGTGAACAGTGATAAATTATGCCGATATTCAGCTGAAATTATTCGTTTTGTCAAACGCATTAAATTGCCAGCAGCGATAAAATAATACACGTGTTTTGTGCAGCAGAAACATATTAATTTCAGTGTCCTGAAAATATCTAATATATCTATTAAATATTTTTTACTTCTGAAATTTTTGTTTCTTCCCACGCTTCTTTATGTATTTACCGCTATGTATATCTTCTTTGTGGTGCCTTCTCTCTTTTTCTTTGTAGAAATTAAGATTTTAAGATCTCCATATATTCTTTTTAAAATATTGCACCACTTATTTTGCAGCGAGCTTAAAAATGTTAGTTAAAGTTTTTATTAAGTACATAATATGCGAAATAACTAAAGAAATTATTGCAAAGAATACAAAACAAAAAATATGAAATAAGATTGTTGCAGAAAATGAATTTGTCTTGTCGTTTATTTTTTTTCTAAATAAGATAAATTATACACAATGGACGTAGTGTACTCAAGCTTGAAAATAAAAATCATACTTTTACGATCGAAGCGACAAAAATTGCGCGATCGTGACGCAAATGAAATTTTCAGTTTCTTTCAATCACGAGCTTTACGTCAATTTTATATCAGCAAAATAAAATTGCAATTTGTCTTTCAATGTTCCGCGCATGTAACGATGCAATTGCGGTTTGCGTGCGAGTACACGACCTGATAAGCACATTCTATATAGATTTATCGACAAAAGGCGAGGTTATTGAACGTTATTCATGTATGTAATATTGAAAGAATAAAAAGAAGAAATTACAACACATTGCAGTTGAATTTTTTCTTTTTTTTTTCTTCTTCCTCCTTTTTCTCTTACTTTTTCTTCTGTTTTCTCTATATTTATTTCAAAGAAAACGAATAAAATAGTTTCTTTCTTTTTAACATTTCTCTTACTTTTTCTTCTTTTTTCTCGATATTTATTTCAAAGAAAACGAATAAAATAGTTTCTTTCTTTTTAACATTTAAAATAAACTTTAAAAGAGCACATAACTTTTTTTTGAATTGTCACAATTCAATTCCAAACTGTTATTTGATCTGATTGGTGGACGAACCGCCCACGAGACTTTTAGTTCGCTAAATTGGAGACAAAGTCCACACGCCAGCAAAAAGTGCTGATGCAGATACAAATTATCTGCAGTTCCGTATGACGTAATATGATCGTTAATATCTAATTTCCAGTTGGAAATACGCAGTATTGTTAATCTCAGCTTGTGTTTCTTTTCCAATGTCTCGAACATGTGAATGTCATCGAATTAAGGTCATGATGAAATTTTCATTTATCTAAAAATTCTATTTCTTCAGAAAACGAATATATAAATGTGCTTACTGCACACGTTTCTTTTCTCGCACACGTTTTCGTGCTTTGACATTTATTGCCGGGGGAGGTAAGAGAAAGGAAGCAAAACCAGAACAAACGTTTCGTCTTTGAGTGTAAAGTCGTGCGTGATAGAATTTATCGATTGAGGTTGAACCTTTCCGAAGTATCGAAAAGAGAGAATATAAGTGTTTTCCTTTCTGTATATATGTATACAACTATTATATCACATCTCTATTTTTATCATATTTCGAATTTTATTTCTGCTTTGGATGTACATTTCCGTGTAATTAAAACGTAGAAACATTTTTCTTCGTGCAAAGGTGCGCTACAAGTTAATTAAAATTCGAACTTTTATTTGTTTACAAACTCAGTAAATCGAGCGAGTCAGTTTTATATCTTTTTTATTGCGTAGTTTCTGTCGACGAAAG